AAAACAAGTGGAAAATGCTGTTCTGTCAGGTAGCACTTTTTGTGTGCTCTTGTACCTCTTTTAGCTCAGCATAACTGTCTGAGCGAAAGACCATGGGGAATCATGTCTGTAGTCACTGATTGCAGCTTATTGCCAGGATGCCCCTGTGAATACTGGAAAATTTTCTTGCTCTTTAGGTTTAAGAAGATGCAGATACCATGTGATAAGTGAACTCTTTCTCTTTTCTTGAGTTTCCATCACCTCCCTCTCAACCACACACTGTGCTAACTAAAATCCACCACAAGGGAAATATGTATTGGCATCCTTTATGGTTAAAAATTATGCTACAACAAAAGGAGATTCAAATTATAGGGTCCATGGGGTTTGTTTAGGACAGTTGTGTCCTTTTTCTTTAATACTAATTTAATAATAACATCATATTTCCATGGCTTTGATATATTTTCCCTACTACTGAGCATGAGGGCTAGATAGCAACCTGCTGACCTTCTAAATGAGTTTCACAATATTGTATGAATCCCAAAACCTGTGCTTCTAAACAAGATACCAAGAATAATGAAGAAAAATATAAAAAGAGATATGGTAGTGTTATGAGAGAAGGTAACATTTTTCAGGGACATCAGCCCAGTTCCTCTTTACAAAGTCCAGCCATTTAGAAAGAGCTGCTTTAAACAGAAAGATAGCCTCTAACTCATCCCCTCTTCAGTCTATCAAAAGTAGCATCATAGAATGGCTGCATACGTCCCTCCTGTCAGATTATGGACTATCAGAGGCAGATCTTATCTGATTCTTGACACAATTTTCCAAATTAAATCTGGCATAAAAATGAGAAATTATGCCATACTAGCAACAGATGCAGCCCAGTCTGATTAAGTGATTCACCTGATTTCAGTGCTCTGGAATTACGGCCCCACAAAGACCTGTGAGCAGAAGACTGTGTTTTCTAACATCCTGAAGGTGCCCTTACATGGTGGTGCCTTGGACAAGTGCTCTGGCTTAGAGCCCTGCCCCATTCGACATACATGAGCACGGCTTTGCAAAGAGGCTGCCTGATTTCAACATTCACACTAAAAGGCAGTTGGCAAATTTTGTGAGGATAAAGAGTTTTTTAGCAAGAAAAAGTCCTATTCATAAAGCTGTTGAAAAAATATCCTCTTATTTGACCTTACACTGGAAATTGCACGAATATAAAGAATCTGTCCCAGGGACCCGAGAGCATTTGGGGATTGGTCTGTTCAGCCAAGTAACAAGTGATAGGACAAGAGGAAATGGGCTAAAGTTACGCCAAGGGAAGTTTAGACTGGATATTAGGAAGAATTTAATTACTGAGAAGCTTATCAGGCATTGGAATGGGTTGCCCAGGGCAGTGGTGAAGTCCCTGTCCCCGCAAATATTTAAGAGTTGGGTAGACATAGTGCTTAGGGGTATGGTTTAGTCAAGGACTTGTCAGTGTTTAGGTTAATGATTGAACTCAATGATCTTAGAGGTCTTTTCCAATCTAGGGAATTCTGTGATACAGCAGCACAGATAAAAATAATTGTACTTAGAACATAATATCTGCCATTGCATGAGTAAATAAAAAGGGATGCAATGAAGAGCAAACATTAAGAATTCATGCAACATTACTGTGAAATGTAGAAAAACTGTGATTACATGGGTAATAAATGAGAGAGAATACACATAGGAAAGGCAAACGGTATTTAAATTTAAAACTTTATCTTAAGGACTGTCAACAAGTGGCCAACTCATTAGGAAAGAAATCTTACCTAAGGTCAGACGCTAGTTTTCAAACAAAGGTCCCAAGTCATAAGCATGACCACAGGAACAGTGACAGAGGAATCTTATCACTAAAATGATGCTGTTTTTAAAAAAGGTAACTAAATGTTAATATTAAATTATTTTCATCTATTTGAGAGAACGCATCTCTTTCTAATACAGATTATCTTGTTCTATGGAAGGCAAATGAATGTATCTTGTGGGTTGGTTGTCATTAAGCTATGCACTCAAACCTTTTCCCAGTTCATTTCTTCTGGCTTTCCTTCCCTCCGGCATTTCTTCAGTCACTATTTCCTTTTCAAAAGATTAAAGCCACACTGTACATGTGATGTCCGTATTTTCTACCTGTTATTTCCAAAGGTACCACATAGACTCTTACCTTACATTAGGGCAAACATTACCTTCTACTATCTAAAACAGTCAGCCCCATTAAAAGAATGAAGTGATAGTCTAGTCTGAGATACCACCATAAGATCTCAAGTTTGTACATGAAGAATGAATGCCTAGCCTTATTGTAATCTTTGGGAAGATGTCTATTATTTCCATATTTCACCCAAATAAATGAGTTTTGTATTTAAGATGCACCTTAGCTCATATCCCAGCCCGCCTGTAACAGCAGGGCTAGGTTCTCCAGGGAAGCTTCCTGCCTTCATGTTATTTCATGATCTAAGTCCATGATATTTGTGTTTATGGACTTTTAAGGTGACAAGGCCCACTTGCTCATCTCCTGTGCTTTATATACTAACAATCATCGCTTGGTTTTGAACCCAGTAATTAGTATCTGACCAAAACAGTGTTTCCTACCAGCCACATCTCAAACCCAAAAGAAAGCAATAGGAATAGAAAGATTTGTGATGTATTAGATACTGAAGAGATAGTCCCTGGAAGAAAATCTTGCTTTCCTAGCCCCCATACATGCTGGGCAGAGTCTTGGAAAGAGAAAAATGTGGAGAAGGGGACAGGATTGGAAGGCGCCAGCCTCCCAGTCGGCCTTTCCACCTCCAAGGGACTCAGATGTTTTACTTACATGAGAAGTGTCTCAGCCATGAGGTGCAAGTCTTTCAGTGACCCTCTGTGTGGCCCCACTGGCTTTAGCTGCTGAGAGACCAGTTTTCTTTCTCTTTATTTCAGCTGCAGCATCCTGCCTCCCCAGACCCAAAAGTCAAACCCTGCCTCTGCTTTCAAAGTATTCAAATCACTAACCTGAATTAGGCTTGCTGTAAGCATTCAAGCAATGAGATCCTTTTCTCTAGTTGTCCTTTCTAGAATTCATATGAAAGTATGATACTCAGTTAAAAGCTTGCCCGTCTGAAAACACTGAGGAAACAAGACAAAAAGTCCTTCCAGGAATGTCTCCAGATTGATCTCAGATGCAAAGCAAGGAGACCACTAGGCAGGGATCTCATTTCCCCTGGCCCCTGCCGCTGATTCACAGCAATGCTTTCTGCAAGACATTTATGGTGCATCAGTGTGTGAATTGATGGAGGAAAAACAATATTTATTTCCTTTCAGAGTTGTCCTGAGTCTTACTAACCACCACTTGTGCAAATCTTTGGATGAAAAGAATAGCAAGTGTTCTAAGCTCTTAATATATATTACTTACTGTACTTTAAAGCGGATGTCATCATGCTAGGTAGGAATTAACATTCCAAACCCCATAGGGTGGGTACCTTTTCGTCCATATATATATATAAAAGTGAAGTGACCTGCCTCAGAGGAAGGCCGACTGAAGACAGGTGAGTCTGAATTCATTCACGAAATATTTATTTAGAGCCAGAAGCCTTGACTCTGTTTTGATTCATCATTTTGTCAATATTGTGATTGCTGTGCTGTTTCTAAGGCCCGAGATGACTTTTGTGATGGGAGGGGGCAAAAACAAGGCTGATAACTTAAACCTTTATAATCTGGACATTTCCTGCATGTGGAAACAGCTACAACCTGTAGCTGTTGATGGGTCCTCACATGAATTTGCCATTGAATTCATAAGTATTGGGTCAAGATATATTGATCCGGGCTTGCAAAAACTCAGTGTTAGAGCTCAAACTGAGCTGCTGCGTGTATCCAGCTCTGGCTCTGGGCGTTTGCTGTCCTGAATAAACTCACTCAGGACAAAGGAGTCTTTCCAATGACAGCAGTGGATAATTTGTGTTTCTGCATCCATGCAGTCTCATTTGCAATAGAAATACAGGCCAGAGAAAATGTCACACATTATTAAAATCAACAAGGCATTTTCAAGTGTTAATAGCATTGCGTGATGATTGCCTACAAGACTCATGGTGTGCGTTTTGTATTTGAAAACCTCTTGGGGAAAAAATACATTTGTAAGCTGTAAAAAGTACTCAGGTTAAATACATTCGCCAGCAAGGCAAGTACAGTCAATGTTCTTTGCAGTTGATAGCTGTTATCTGATGACATTTTGGATTTTTTTTTAATAAGCACAACAGATGCATTTATTACTAACATGATTATCTGCCATTATCACACACAGAAATTAATATAGAATTATTGTTTCACCATATAAATCTTGGACTTGCCTTGCATGCTCTTAGCAGAGAATTAAGGATCATGTTTTTTGGTATTTGAAAACATGTCTTTCCAAAAGCCAGGCAAAAATCCCATTGCCTTTTGAACAGAGAGACGAAGGATGTGTGCACTCTGTAGCACATTAGATTTCAAACACAAATATAATTGAAGTAAAGGTATTGCAACTTCTTAGAGTAAAAACGTCTGTGGATGTTCCAAGGGGGGCCATGTAAGTAGACGATGTGGCATGACAGGAGCTAAAATAATCCCTGCGGGCCCAGGTTGCCAGCGAGAACCTCCCTGCTCCTGAGGTCCCCAGGCTCAGCCCTTTCCTCTCGATCTGATGGTCTAGTGACACATGAGATGGAGGAGATATTCAGCAGCATGAGAAGCCAGTATCCTCCAAACAAGGAGGCAGTAAGGAGAGGATGGAGGTCCCATCACTTGCTTCTGCTCCCACCACCACTCTCTGAAGCTGGTGGCTGCACCCCATGCTGTGGGTGAGGTGGGGAACGTGCTGCAGAGAGGTTGCCTCTGCTCCCCAACCCATCTTCAGCTAATGCTATCCCTGTCTGGTGCCTCAGTGTGGGGGCTTTGGACATGAAAACTGCTACAGGACTGTTGAAAGCTGGCACTGATCTCTTCATGTTTTGCAAACCCTTGTGTTTCCAGGTCTTCCGGAACAGCTGAGGAGAGCCATTGCCATGATCCCCGCACTGCTCTTACTGGGCCTTACGGCCCTTGTTGGTGAGCCAGGGTTTGGGTTTGTGTTACTGTCAACAGCACCCCGGGATCTGTCAGCAAAAGGTCTGCAGAGAGGAAGTCGGCAGTCAGGCCCGAGGTCCCCTTTCTGCAGGGCGCTGTAAAACTCCACATGGCTGAAGGTCGTCGGTTGCCATATGAGGCTACTCGCCCTCCCCATGTGTCTGTTAAACCAGCATGTCTGGAGCACGGGGCTGGCACCAAAAAGGAGTAACAGACATACCCCCTCTTTATTTTCCCAGCTAACCTAATCCAATCTCTCTGCCTACTCAGAAATGTTCTCACAAATGTGGCAAGCTGTTTGGTGGAGGCCATTCATTCCTCAGTTACTGAGCAAGCAGGGTAATTTGCCCAGCCTGACGCAAGCACTCTCCTGAATTAATTTCCTCACCAAGTTATGGAGCGACACAGGAGATGCTCCCAGTTGGGGTGCTTGGGTACCACCAGCCATCATGTGAGGTGTCCCAGACACTGTGGGGAGCATTGAATGGGAAGGGCCCTCAGAAATAAATGCAGAGACTGCAGTTCCCCTTTCCCACACCAGCCTTTAGACTTAATGGGGCAGACATTTATTCATCTGAATTATCTTTAGATTCAGTTGCTTCAACCTATTTAATTAGAAAAGAACAAATTCCTGTTCTCCAGCTTTCTTTGATAACACTGCTGATGTAGAGCAGTGGCAACCATATGAGCACGGCCAACACAAGGTGATGTGGATTACAGATTTGGATGAATCTCTCATGCTTGGCTTGTATGCACTTGCAGCACACTGCACGATACTGCTCTGAGATTACATGTGTTCAAACACCTCCATTTAATTTTTCAGCTCCATCTGTGAGTTACAGTTGCTATGGCGATATAAGTGCTCTTCAAGCCCCCGCCATCTCCTGTACAGCTGTAAGAGCCCCAGACTGTGGTAAGTATCATTCACTGCTTGATTTGTCAACCTGTTTTTACCTGACAGAGAGATGCTTCACCTTCTGTTGTTGCCAAATTAAATGTTGTGCAGCCATTCAGTTAGCCAAAAGGAAGAAAGCAACATCTCCTCCACCAAAATGGCAGGTGCTGTGAAGCCTCCAGACCTGGTAGGAAGTGAAAGGACAAACTTCAGGTGCATAGTCAGGATCCTTAGCCTCTAAGAAAAAAGAAATAGTGCAACTCCTTTTCAGTTAAAACGGTTTCTTCATCAGCCAGAACTTTAGCATCAGCACCCTCACAAAACCCTGGGGCCTGTCTGCTCGAAGGGGAAGATGAGCAGAGCCAGGTCCTGAGTGCTGTTGGGTCGGCTGAGCTGGCAAGTGGTGACCTGCTACAGGCACAGTTTGCAGGGAAAAGGTCCCATGTGTGTAGCCATCCTACCTCTGGATGACAAGTTTTTTGGTAACTTGTTCCCTTTTCTCCAGGGAGATCTTATTGCAGCCTTTCAATATATAAAATTAACCTGTAAGAAAGATGGTGGCAATCTTTTTGGCAAGGCTTGTTGTGACAGAACAAGGGGTAATGGTTTTAAATTAAAAGAGGGTAGATTTGGACTGGATATAAGGAAGATTTTTTTTACAGTGAGGGTGGTGAAACACTAGCACAGGTTGCCCAGAGAGGTGGTGGAGGCCCCATCCCTGGAGACATTCAAGGTGAGACTGGATGGGGCTCTGAGCAACCTGATCTTGTTAAAGATGTTCCTGCTCACTGCTGGGAGGATGGACTAGACGACCTTTAAAGTTCCCTTCCAACCCAACACCCGTTGTGTTACTGCCTCTCGTCAGTGCACAACTGACTACATCAGGTTCATACTGCTGAGACCTCCAGGGACTTTACCATGTACCTTGGATGTAGACACCTCCAGGGCACACACCTGATGGCAGATGTCCAAGCGTGGGTCTGAACCTGCTTACTTGTTTCCAAACTGCTCCAAAATTACTTTAAAAAGAGAAAAACAAACAGCCTTCTATACACAGACTAAAAATATAGCTGTTACTGCAGATCGGCTGGTCAGTAGTTAATGCGTCTCTCATTTTTTTCAAATGCAATTTGAAATGTTATTTTCAGACTCCAGAACCACATTCCCAGCGGTGCAGCAGCAGAAGAGGACCACGAACGTGTAGTCCCACCTCCTGAGAAGCTGCCGTCTTGCCCTCATCATCCTCGGGCAGTGGCATGGCAGCTCCCTGGCCACGGTCAGAATCCATAAGGCTGAGCTTGTTTCTCATGTGCCACTGCCCAACTCCATGTAGCTGAGTTTTCTTCAGAACTTGAGTTACTTCTTTGATACCTCTGCTCAGGGGCAAAGTGGGGCATTTGGACAGGAGGATGTGTAAGTCTGCCTTTTCCTATATCACAGGGCTTGCCATGGTGCGGAGGACTGCTGAGGCAGACGTCGTACGCCTGAGGAAATACGAGGTGCCAATTAAGAGAGTAGCCAGAAACCTGTGCTTGGACCCAGCACTCATTGCTGGCATCATCTCGCAGGAGAGCCGTGCTGGCTTGGTCCTGGACAATGGCTGGGACCAGGAGCGGCAAAAGTACGGCTTGATGCAGGTAGATTGGGATGATAAGTTTGAGTAACAGAACAGTAATGTATTGCATAACCCAGGGCCTCACCTTAGCAAATGACTGGTGTGTGTTTGAGACAGCACTTAAATACATTCTCTCTACATCAAAGGTTGTAAATGAAAAGTGTTTTCCTGAATAAGGTCACTTCAATGAGTCACAGCCTGGGAATATAACGAAAAGGGCAAAGCTACAGTGGTGGTTGTGTTCAGAGGGTAATCCAGTTTCTTGCTTGATTTTTCTAGATCGGAGGGCAGCAACGTGCTTACGGAATGTGGGATAGTGAAGAACACATAAATCAGTGCTCAACTATCCTGGTTCTTGCAATTAATGAAGTACGGGCAAGGCATCCTACCTGGACCTGGGACCGGCAGCTGAGAGGTACATGATGGGCTAAATACTAGAGACGGACCCGCTGAGTGATGGGAGGACTGCGCATTTGTTGGTGTCACCAAAAGCGTAATTCTTGCAAATTTTACAGTATCTCTTATAAAAAAAACCCACCTAACACTCAAACAACCCAGAGTTTTCTAGTTTAAAAGAAGAAATCCGAAAACACTAGAGGGGCAAGAGATCTGAATGTAGACTCAGCCTCCCAGGTCAAAGCACTGTCCATAGGGCCTCCATGTTTCTGCCTGCAGAAGAGGTACTGTGGTGGGACATCACGCTCCTTGGTAGCTTTGCTGCAGTAGGAAGCAGTGGGAAAAAAGCCCAACCTGGGAGCTGCCACAGCATGAAAGCACCTAAAAAAGGGCTGGGTGAAGGTGTTTGGCACAGCCTTAGCAGGTTGTCCCTTGACTTCAGTGACAGGTGCCCACAGAGGCTCACTACATTGAGTGGCTGGGCCACTGCTGGTGAATGGCTGGGTATAGAACATCCTTAAACTCCCAGCAAAATGCACTGTGCTCAGTGAACATGAACAGGTCTCAAGTTATCGTCTTACTTGTTCATCCCTCGAGATCAGGCTGCTCAAATCCTCGTCCAACCTGGCCTTGAACTCTCCCAGGGATGAGGCATCCACAGCTTTCCCAGGCAACCTATTCCAGTGTCTTACCATTCCCACAGTGAAGAACTTCCTAATGTCTAACCTAAATCTACCCTGCTTCAGTTTAAAACCATTGCCCCTCGTCCTATTGCTATGTGCCCTTGTAAACAGTCCTTCCCCAGATTTCCTGTAGGCCCCCTTTCAGGCACCATCAGGCTGCTATAAGGTCTCCCTGGAGCCTTTTCTTCTCCAGGCTGAACAGCCCCAAGTCTCTCAGCCTGTCCTCATAGGAGGACAGCCCTCTGATCATTTTTGTGGCCTTCCTCTGGGCCCACTCCAACAGGTCCACATCCTTTTTATGTTGGAGGTCCCAGAGCTGAATGCTGCACTGCAGATGGGGTCTCACCAGAGCAGAACAGAGGGGCAGAATCACCTTCCTCGACTGTTGGCCATTCTTCTTTTGACACAGCCCAGGATGCGATTGGTTTTCTGGGCTCTGAGCGCACATGGCTGGCTCATGTTGAGCTTCTCATCAACCAACACCCTCAAAATAGAAACCAACCAACCAAAAGCCACTGGAGAAGGCAGAAGTTGAGGCACTGCAATACAACAGGCTTATTGTGGCAGGCTATTGTGTCAAGAAAGCTTGGGATCCAGATTTCCTTGTAGTCCATGTTATGTGCATGCTGGTTTGTTCACTCTATGCTATTTTTTACTCTCCCATCCTTGCTCTGCCACTGCATTTCAGATCATGCCCTTTTTTGGGACCAGTGAGCCATTCTCATTTGCATTTGGAGAGAGTCACAGATTCCTTCACTATAGAAATGAGGATTTTGCAAAATCACTTACTTTTCAACAATAATGCACAATTAACAACTTCCCAAGCAGTTTTGTAGGTTTGGTGAGATGCATGGCCTTTTTCTCTAGGAATTTTCACTTTGAAATCTCTCTTTCTTACTTATAAACTTGTAACAACTCCTTCTTAACTCTTTCTAGGGGGACTCTGCACCTACCGTGCTAAAATGGCCAGCCGCCAGGTCTATGAGGAAGACCCATGCGACAGAGACAACTACTACGCTAACAGCGTGATCAGGCGAGCCCAGTACTTTAAGAGACATGGGTTCTAGCTCATCAACCTGCCCCATCACCAAGCCTCTCCTCTGCACAGACTAGCCCAGTAGTGATTGTAGTACCCACAGTTCCTTAGATCTCCTGGCAGGACCAATGCTGGTGGCAATGGCAATGGCACCTTGCTCACTCCAGCAAACTCCAGCTCCCCACTTGCCGACAGGCAGGCGCACCACTGCCTGCCAGGGGACACACAGAGATGAGACACCACAAGCTCAGGACCTTTGAAAAGCAGATGGGGACAGACCAGTGATGTTTAAGTTCTGGGTGAGGAAGGTGGCTCTTCCCATTGGAAGCTGAACCTGGGCCTGTTTGTGCACCCCACAGGCATGGCAGCAGCTTTCTCTGGGCCATCATCTGTGCTCCTCCATCTCCTCCATCCACCTCCTTCCGTCTCCCTGGCCAATGGAGGGGATGAAGGAGCTAAAGTCTTCCTTCCTCTTGGTTGTGCTGGGCACAGGGCAATGAAGAGACCTCTTGCCAAGCCTTTAGTCTCTGCATGGGCTGTGGTCCAGCCTTGTGGAGAATAACATTAGGCACACATCTTCTGAGCCCTGGAGCCCATAGCCATGCTGTGGCTGAGGAGCTCTTCAGGATGAGAAGCAGCCTCACATAGGCGAAATTCTCTATGTGAGAAGTACTGCAAGTGCCATAGCAGGCATGCAAAACACCTTTACGTTAGAGAGCAGCCCCCTGAGCAGGAGCCGGCCTTGTACATACCCACCCAAGGAGTTGTATCACAACAACAGCATTGGTAAAAAAATACCCACAACATGCCCTGCTTTAGCTTTGGAACCTTTATGCTCGGTTTCAGCAACTGTCCCTCTGCCAGGAATCCCACCTTCTAATCAGGAGTGAATTAACTCTGGGTTTATAAACTCTGTTTGAAAGTGTTCTTCAATGAGGATGGGTCTGGGTGAAAATTCAGGTTTACTGAGAATAATACTGAAAGAGAGAAAATAAAGATAAACATTGAATCCCAATCTTTGTGGTTATTTGTCTTTTGTTTTTTTTTATTTCATGGGGCCCAGTGAGCCACAACTTGAGTGGACTAAACAACCCAATTTGGTTTTTTTGAAATAGGTCTAAAAGTCAGTTTGAGAACAGAGAGAGGAAGATGGTGCTGTGTACTGGAGTGGGTGAGAAGAGCTGGGCAGGGAGGCAGGGCGTGAAGCAGTTGCTCCCAAATCTCTGAAGAAAGGAATGAGGACATTCACATTTCATCTTTTGAATAACGATTTTGGAGGCATCAGGGCACCTCTCTGCCTGCTGTCGCCATTGCCAATGCAGAAGTGATGTGGCTGGCGGACCCTGCCAGTCAACGCAGGCAGCGTGAAAGCTGGTTTAGAGATAGCTTTTGTAAATGGGATAATTTTAGTACTGTGCTCCTTGTCTTGCCAGTCACTCATCTGCTTACTGTTGTGGCAAGGACTGCACATGATTAACATATTTGCAGGCAAACTCATTTTATCATCTCTGGAGACCAGAGGGAGCTCTAGGATGTCTCTAACATTACTGATTTTTTAAATTATTTTTTTAAGACTACAGAAAACAATTTGATGTTGAGCAAATGCAGGTATTAGACTACATATTATTTAGTCTTTAGTGAATTCTGCACTGCATTAAGATGATTTTAGTAAAATTCTTACATTGTAATACAAACTTATGAAACATATCATGTGGCTTGATTCCTTCTACTTGAAATAACTTATGTAAAATTCATAGGTTGAAGCCTTTGGTGCATTATGTTATATAAACCTCTATGTTACACAAACCTCTTACGTAAAACCTGTGAACACATTTTTGGTAGATCAGCATAAACCTGAAATGGGGCAGGGAATCTCATTGCTGCTTACATTATAAGGTTGGTTTTTGAGTCTGGAAGATGAACAAAAGCGCAGCTTTCTTTGGTTCCTTTCATGTCACCCTTAACTGCTGCCAGCAAGATCCCTGTCACCCGTATTAGTGTTGTCATCCCTGCAGATCTGTGAGATTCTAAGGAGTCCAATTTCTGTGTGTGTTACCTGTGAAGCTGCTGCTTCATGTTATGGTAGAGCCTGCAGACCCACCTGCTGGCTTGTGCAGCGTTGCCTGATTACGGGAATTCCATATTTTGCTGCAAATTCTATTTTAGAGTAACAGCACTTTGTAGCATATAAAGAAATTATCTGCAGAAAATGAGTTCAAATATAATTACTCAATAAATTGGCACAAAGGTGTAAATAGTAATTAAGGAATGTTCAGCACTGGCACACTACTTTAAGATTGGAACAAAAGCTTTCCTGACAAACTGAGTTCAGATTGCTTTGCCCCTCTTATCTTTCCCTGGTCATCCATGCCTGTGTTACTGGAAGTTGATTCATCTGGCTGAAGTACATATCTGCTGTAGTTACAGTCTTGGTCACCCTTTTGATCCGATAACACTTAACATATCAGAAAAAGCAGAAGAACAGACTGAGAAGGAGTTAATTTTCCCCATCACAGCCCTCATAGTGCTGTGCTCTGTATTGGAAACCAGAAGGATGTTGATAACTCACCAGTGCTTTGGCTACTGCCAAGTAGTCCTCGTACAGTGTTGCAGGAAGAATTAAATTTTAACCATAGTTATGATTAGTGATTATTCAAAATTTATTAATGATGTAAGGTATAGAGAGAGTTAAGTTTTAGCAGGAGTTTAATCATTCACCAATGGCAGAATAGGTTATAGTGACTTGATTACAGATGCTTTACGTGACAAGATTCACAGTAATTTACTGCAAGGTAATTCAATCAAAAAATATGTGTTTTTATATATAGGTATGCATGCATAAATATAGAGTGTATACTTATAAAATTAGATATATCTAGATAACTAAATCTGTGCTATGGACATCCACACTTGTGAAAACAAATCACAGAATCAGAGAATGTTAAGGGTTGGAAGGGACCTCAAAAGATCATCTAGTCCAACCTCCCTCTGACAGGGGGATCACCTAGAGTAGATCAACAGGAACACATCCAGGCAGGTTTTGAATGTCTCCAGAAAAGGAGACCCCACGACCTCTCTGGGCAGCCTGTTTCAGTGCTTTGTCACCCCCACACTGAAAAAGTATTTTCTGATGTTTTTGTGGAACCTCCTATGCTCCAGCTTGCACCCGTTGCCCCTTGTCCTGTCACTGGACATCACTGAGAAGAGCCTGGCTCCATCCTTCTGACACTTACCCTTTACATATTTATAAACATTAATGAGGTCACCTCTCAGTCTCCTCTACTCCAAGCCAATAAGTAAACATGTGGATGTAGAGGCTAGCCTATAGTTAAAACTTCCCTCTTCTGAAATTTGGAGCAAATACTCACAACACATCGTCAGCATTCATCAACGGGTGATAGTTAAGACTCAAGGAGGAGGTCTTGTGACGATTTGCTGTCTATCAGGAGTTGGCCCCCAAAGTCTGGTACCTGAATGGCACCCCAGCTCAGGAGAGTTGCTGGTCACAGCCTGCTGCAATCCAGAAGAGCTCTAAGGGTCTCAGTTAGAATCACTATTTATAGGGTCCAAGATAATTTACTTTTGTTATGTATTTTTCCATATCAGCCTCCTCTTGTTTTGCACCAGGGATGTTCTTTGAATTTAGCTCTTGTACAAGGTACGAGGGGTTTCATTCTGTCAGGAGGTGTTGGACTATTATTGCTACTCCTAGACAATAGAGAAGGCAGGAGCCAGGCACATCAAGAAGGTGCCTTCATGCTCTAGCAGTCCCCATTTCCCACACAATAGGAAAAGTAGGAGCCAGATGCGTTAAGATACCTTCATGCTCTGGTAGCCTCTATCTTGCACAATCACAACACACATCTTTCCCAGGTCACTTTGCCCTCCACCTGGTACTAAGTCTCAAAACCAAGGATGATGAAGAAAGGGACAAAGAATTGCACCACTACGCACAGCACCAAGACTGTCTCTCCAACACATGCCCCTCACTCCCAAAAGCCAATACGCTGGGAATGGGCAAGATCGTGGGAGGGGACACAACCAGAACAACTGACCCAAATTGATCAAAGGGATATTCCATAATGTATGACCTCTGCTCAGCAATAAAAGCTAAGAGAAGGAGAGTGGGCCATTTGTTATTACAATGTTTGTCTTCTGCTGCCCTATTTCCCAGGAAGTGGCTAGACATCACCTGAGGATGGAAAGTAGAGAATAATTATTTTGTTTTCCTGTTGCTTCCATGCATAGCCTCTGCTTTTCATTATTAAACTCCCTTTATCTTGACCCATGAGGCTTTTTTCCATCTTATTTTCTCCCCTTCTTGTCCTGCTGAGGAAGGGAGTGATAGAGTAGCTTGGTGGGCACGTAGCATCCAGCCAAGGTCAACCCACCACACAGGGTAAGGAAAGAGAAAAGACAAGTCAGAGGGGAAAGAAAGGTCCAGGGAATCACAGACCAGGACATCTGGCTGCAACTCCAGGGAAGATGCTATAGTAAGGGATTGAATTATTGCTTTGAGAGCACCTGGGGGACAACAAAGCAGAAAGAAGAAGGGCTCTGACAGCCTGGTTTGGCAGGGAAAAACCCCTCAGACCAATTGAAGTCCTTATCTCACTGGATAAGTGGCCAAGAGAGAAGCTGTGGCTGTGTCGTATAATGAGCTCACTAATGCTTTTGGCAGCAATTTGAAGTGCCCTCGTATGTGAAATGTCTTAAGGTAAGTACAAAAAAAGCACTGGTTACTGGCAGCTTGTGGTCAAATTGGTGAGACATTTCAAGTGGAGCCACACAAGTCTGTCCTACACCAGTTTCTCCCAAATTTGTGGTCGGAAAATGAATGGTGGACAAGAGCCATCAAACTATGGGCTATGCTGAGAGGGAACATGAGCACTTCCACTAATGGTTAAAGACTTGCTAAAACCAGTCAGGAGCCAAAGTACTGAAATAAACACAGGTGAAAAAGATTTAAGGAGCTCAAGCAAGGGTGTTAGCAGGGGCAGAGAGGGCTGGAAACCATCTCACAGGGTTTGT